GCTCAGTACAAGGTTCTTGCTGCATGAAACCAGTATTTTCTCAAAGGAGCAAGAATGCTCGGAAAATTTCCGTGAATCGCGTGTATCCACCGACGGTTTTAATAGTTTCATTCGCGGTTTCGCGTATGAGGTCACGCACACGGCGCCAGTCACGCTAAAAATCGGCCAAATGAGAAAAGGGTTAAATCCGTTTTCATAAACGTAAACGATTTTCTTCGAGTCGGGATACCGGTGAAATGGTAAAATGGTATTCATCGATACTCGGTGGTATTTAACACGCTGGAAACGCGTACGATTCTTTAAGCGGATAAGCGAGGGAAGGCGAGCGAGCGCGCGCTCGCGCGCAGGCGGAACGTTTAAACTCGAGCCGCTCAATGGCCAATAAAAGTTTATTCCTACGTACGTGGCAATGAAAATTTATCGCATGGCTGTGATATCAAGCGAAACGAAACGCAGGTGCGCCGGATCGTTGCCGCGAATTTACTTGTGGTTTCAGCAAAAACACAGAAATGGTGCCCCTTTCACGCGTTCGCGTGTACGCGTGTTAACCGTGTTGCGACCTTTTTACCGCGACACACACGGTATTTTCGACGGTTATTACATAAGCGCCGGCATTCCACTGATTGCTCTATTCTTGAGCTTCCATCGATGGTCGTCGTTGGTTTCCGTTCCTGCGGTAAACGCGCAAGAAAAGAAGGTAAATTCAACGGTGAAAAACGGTCTGGGGAAAGAAATCGCGATGTTCTAGTTTGTAATCTTGGCCGATGCTCGCGCGGTTTTATCTGTGACTGCACCGTTATGTCGAAGTAATGAGACGATTATTACTATTATTAGCAGTGCTGCCGGGGAGAAAATAAACTTATTTGAAATTTCTTTTCTTTTTATTTGTTGCTTAACGTCACGTCTCCTGCTAACACGTTGACCGCCACGAGAATTTAAAGCGTTTTGTATAACATTACTTATCGTATCGTAACAAACGCAAGTGGTATTAGAATTAATTAGCAATGATTTGGTATATCATAGCTCTTAAGTTACACTATTATTTAGCTACCTACGTAACTAAATATGTTGATACGGCACCATTTTTTTTCTTTCTGTTTTCAAGTAATTTGGCCGCTCCAGTCATTGGTGACCATCGTGGCGGTCAACGTGTTAAGATATTAGTGACTACGTTTGTCTTGTAGAGAAAATATAATATGTGTATAATATGAAGTATATATGTAAAGGAGAATAAGTACATATTGTAATATTAACGGCATAAATAGCAATGTTATTTTTATGGATGTATGGTATGTGTGTTTGTATTCGTGTTCGTGTATCATAGAATTACGTTGAAGGGTTATAAAATGTGAACTTGTATGTACTAAAGACGATTTAAGGAGTTTATTTTATTTAGAAAAATTTTGAATCTTTTTACATTACGTATTGTTGTTTTTTATTCTATGAGTAATAAAAAATATGTGTCATTGTATAACAGAATCAACCTAGTGCATAGACGTTGTCCCTGAAGGATTAAAAATATTTGCATAGTTTTTGAGATATTGGATTTATATATCGAAAAAAATAAGAATAATTTAAAAAAAGTATTGGAAAAATTTATTTCAACTTAACAGGCACACAGTATTTGCAAAAATAACGATCCTTTGTCATTCTTCATGAATTATGGAGCTTATTTTAAAATCTGAATTTGTTATCTTACAATAAAATGCTGAAACAGTGAATCGATGTGTAAACATTTTATTAACATTCACTTGAAGCATTTTATTCTTAGTATGTTTTGCATAGATAATATCATTGCTTCGTTCAATATTGAAATTTTTAATAGTACTCACGTAAGTATTTTGATCACTTTGAATAATTCTTGAAGAAATTATGACAACTTGAAGCTTACTAATGATGTAATGGTGCATTAATTGGAGACCTTTCTAATGAATTTGAAGCAATACCGCAGTTAAAACATTTTAAAGTTGCAATATTAGACAGATGTTATAAAATGATGTCAATGGTATCTTGTGATTACTAATAAATGCGTCATTTAAATTAATGCAAACAAACATTTTCCAATTAACTTATGTAAGGATCGTTTTATGAAAAAATATATACTTATGCAAGTTAAACCATTTGAATTTCTAACGAGAGAAGGAATGACGGCTGTAAACGCGATAATAACTATGCCTCGTGAGAGGTTGAATTCAAATATGGCGGACTAGGTAAGACTTTTTCTTATGTGTATCTATTGTAATACTATTGAATCTATTGAAATAATAATAATGAATGAATCTATTAAAATAATAATAATAATCTATTGAAATATTCGAATAGTTTTTAAATGTACAAAATGAATTTTGAAGTGGTAATTATCATAAAATTTATAAACGAAGAGCAGGGAAGCAAAAATTACGGTTTGATATTTTCAATATGCAATAACAGTTTCTTTTATATCTGTACTTTATGAATTATTGAAAATAACTTTCAAACTTATATTTGTTTAACTTTATTTCACTCGATAATATTAATTTATTGTATGCGCCTTATCGTTATGAATTTCAATAATTACTTTGCAATGTAAATATTTATATTGTTACACCTTTTTAATTATTATTTACTTCACTCGTAATTATCATTATCTATGTAAATTACAGTGACCCATTAATTTTTCATATACCTTTAATATTGATGAAAAATATAACTGTTGATTACAAAGTAATTCTCAATAAATAATAATAAATAATATATATATATTATATATTTGTGATTTATATATATAAACATAAATCACAAATTTCTCAGGGAGAAACGTAAGTTACGAGTTTCGATATTATTTCCAGGAAACGATCAAGGAGAATATGTCGACCTTGATCGCAATCATGAAAGATGCGTGTGCTCACATTTTTTTCCAATTATTGCCTACGGGAATCAACTTCTAGATTCGCATGGAAGCATCGTATCGAAATGTTCACGAGTTCTCTTGATTACTTGAAACTTTGTTTCCATCCTACGAAAATTGAAAATTTCCCAATATTCTCTCGCTCTTTATTTTAAAACGGTTATTCATGACCGTTGGACGAGATTTTGAATGAATAGCCATTGTTTCTGTTAAACGAGACAATTTGCATTTTAAAGTACAGACAACAGACTTTAATTTCATATACCGAAAGTTGAAAAAGCTTTGAGTCCATACAGAAGATACGGACAGAAGGACGTGTACGTTTTTTTTACTCGTCGGCTACCCTTTTTTCTAAGACAAGATAATCGATCTCGCAATCGAAGGTCTGACCTCGAAGTGTATTGAAGCAAAAATTGTAAAGATTTCTCAATTTAAACAGCATACTTTAAATTGCTAAGAAAGTAAAGATGGAACTCAGTGTTTTTCATGGTTCGAAATTATATTTCAAATATGAGTATTTCAATCTCATTAATCATTATCATTAGACTATCCTAATGAAAATTTCGGGTAGTGACATCTTTCGAAATATGTTAGAGGCAGCATTCAGTGCGTGCTCCAAAGGTATAGATAAGAAGGAAAAATATGCACATTCGTAGCAGAGGTACTGCTTTACCGACTCAGAAATTCAAGCATAAATGAGATATACCATAGACTAAATACCTTATGAGATTTAGTGTCCCTAGTCGATTACTTTATCGACTCAGATATTTAAACCACAGAGTTAAGATATGTACAGACTGTGCATACAACGTATTTTTCTGTTTACTGTTCTGAAATACCGACACCGTTAAAATACCTCGACGTACTAGCGAACTCTACCTGAATTGAATGGTCAATTACTGGACTATATAAAACTGGAACATGGAAAGTGTGTGCACCAACTTAAGATACGCAGGTAAGTACCTACAGACGTTGCTCATGGGAAGTTTTGTGTAGGGCTTTGGGGGTCTCGAGACTCCCGACCATTTCTGTGCCGCGCTCGATATTATCGATAATACAAGATTTTAGACTTGTTAGTAGAAATTAAATTAGCTCTGTACTTCATTTTTGCTATGCGTGTTTTACATTATACAAACAATTTTACACAGAAAATAATTTCAATTGATAAATTTTGTTATACATTGATTTATCCTGTGAAGTATTATACAACGTTATAATTATATATTTACACGTGAAATTATTTTTATTAATTATGTAATTTTTAATAAATGACCGGAAATATTATACTTCAATAATCTTCTGTTCTTATTTATTTAACATTTTAATCGATATCCGAATAGTTTGCAAAATTGTTCTTTCATTTTAATATTTGTGAAAATTTGATTAATCACAATTGAATTTCATATATTACATATTTATTTAAATTGCAGCATTTTTAGATCAATGATGTAATATCGAAATGATTAATCTTGAATACATTAATGTGTATTATTTAGAGTTGAAATACAGTTTTTCTTTATTACTCGTGAAGACTTTTTCAATTTCAAGTTACAATTCAATATGTGAGTATTGAATACGTATTGAAAATGTATGTGATTCATTATGTATAATATAATACGATCTACGGAAAATCTGTTTACTGGACAATTTATTTTTATATCTGGTAAGACCCGAAATATTCTTCCTTAGAAATTTTAAACATTATTTTTCATAATAATGATGCGTTTATATATGTTTCTCATTTTTCGAATGGAAGACACGGAAAACTTTGTTAAGCAATGTGACGTAGAACAATTTTTCCACGAACCATACCATTCACCGCAGAATACAGTTCTATCAAATTGAAACTGAAAGTGACCAGTTTATTAAATCCTAAAGTATCTATTTATCTATTCGTCATATTAGGTGCAATGAACCTTATGAAAAAATTACTTTGAATATAGATGTACTGTAATCCGCATTGTGTTTTATTTTCTCTGTTTCCGTAAACAGTAATTATTTCGAATTTGAATTTCGATACGTTGGATTACAGTAATACACAAATAGTTCCCCCTCTATAATCGAGTAACTAAGGACATTAGCGGAAGTGTTTGTGTATATGACATTACGTCTTTCTCTTTCGACGTTTAGTACATGGAGGAACATTGGGAAGTGAGCAGCAATTATTTGCTTGTGATACCGTTTACATTCTATATAATCGTGATGTGGAGCTTGGATTTCACATTTGGTTTCTTAGCAGCTTCTGTCAGACTATTTCGTTATCTAAAATTTTGGGTCGATAATCATGGTTAACGCACAGAAAAAGGTACTTACGTATCATACGGAGTACCTCTTAATCGTCAAAGGTAATAGACTTTCGAAAATAATAATTAATACAGTACAAAAAAAACTGTGCACGAGTTTCTTTAGATACTTTTAATTTTAGAATCATTTACTGAAAAATTGTTAAAAATTATTTTCTTTGCCCTTTTGTTGTTATTTTTATGGTACATACGTATTTTGATTTAATAGATACATAGTTTTTCATTGGAAAAAGATATTACAGATGAAAATATTTGGAAAGTATGTTTAATACCTGTACTATATACAATGTTTATTCAACTTCAGCTAAGAATAGGAACTTGGTTTATAATACCCTGTACATGTATCTTAATCATTTACACTTCTTTCTCGCATATACTCATACCGCTTATTGTACTTTGTCTATTGCATCATTTAAAGTCCTAATAGTTATTCTAATAATAATAGTTGAATGGCTCACTTGCCGAATCGATTAACTTCACTTTTTGAATTTTTCAAGATTTTATGGTTAAAACGCTTCATTGGCTCTTGACTTTTCATATTAAAAATGAATGTCTTTATTACTGAGTGTGATAGTACGAAGTAACAAAAATTCTATTGCTAACACAAAACTTGCAGTTATAATAAAAATGACCTCGGAATCATACTATTTTATACATCTTACATATTCTTTAGATTAAAACTACACCTGTAACAATGAAACAAAATACGTTCTACAATGATTATTTAATTTTCTATTTGAGGGAAATTTTGAATACCATTGTATAGCTATTGCATTACTTTCTTTCACTTTTTGTTTTATGGAGTTAATCGATTTGGCAAGTGAGCCATTCATTTTAGCTTTGGTTTCTGTATATTTACATCTACTTCTGTTCTCTATTTCTACTTCTAATATCTATTTCCTTTCTTTTCTTTTTTAATCCTTCCAACCATTCTTCAGCTTCCCTATCTTGCCTATCACTTACTACATCCTCCTATACTCATTATAATAATCGTGTTTTTCGTGAATAGAATATAGTGCTTGCATCTCTTATTCGACACTACCGTGTAACCTACGATCAAATGCTTACAGAGGCAATAAATCGGCGTCATTGAAGGAATTCGAGAGCGATGAAACGCAAAGATTGAACCTACGGCTTCCGTTTGGAGTGCTCCGTCAGCGCAATCGAAGATACTTCACAAGAGCGGGTTCGTCTACGATTCAACGTCGGCGAGGATAAACAGGAATGCCCTACAAACAAAGCCGCGAGACGACGAGAAACACAATAATTCGAATGAAAATAACGAATTATCGAAGAAAACGGTATATTATGTGATTCCAATTATTCGTATCTCGGATCACGGCGGAAAGTTCGATTGGGTGGTTCTATCCATTCACACCTCAGATCACTCGTGAGATCAACCCTCTAAACTGAGAATGAAAATTTTTTTTTATAAATTTGTTATTAATACACATTCAACTTCAGTATCAGTAAGAAAAATATTAAGAAACTGAAAAATATTCGTTTTATAAGCGAAAAACTGAGAAATGAGAAAATCGAATTTGCCCCAAAGTCCAAGGCGACTTGACCGTTACTTTTCAATTTTTTGCTTATAAAATGAAGATTTTTAAGTTTTTAACAAATTTTTTTACTGGTAATGAAACTGAGTGTATATTAATAAGAAATCTATGAAGAAAAATGTTGATTTTAAGTTTTAACTATTGGTCTTTCGCTGTTAAGGCTGAACTAATCCGATTCGCCTCGGTCTACCCTAATATATTTTATCGCACTAATGAAACTTACCTACTACATAAGGTGTATGATAAAATTATTTTAACATGTTGGACATATTCAGAACGTGCGCTAAACTTCAAACATTCATTATTTGTTTTATAACCGATAACATTTTTCGTTTAATATCGGTTCGTGCCTGACTCTCTGAACTAATTAAAATGAAATTTATTTATTTAAAAATATTTACTTCTTTCGATATAATTTCTTAAATAATCATCCAGTTCGAACAATGAAATAATTAAATAGAATTTATTTACGAAAATACTTCGGTTTATCATAACGATTATTTACGAATTATACGAAAACAATATTGTACGAATAGCGGAAAAATGTGAGAAAACACATGATTCATGAATGCCGAGAGATGGTTTGTATTGACATATGAGGATTCTAAACGACACGCCCAAAACCTCGGTCGATTTGTAGATGGAACGAGATATATTATTTTAGTTTCAGGTTTACACAAAAAGGCCCTTCGCGTAGTTTATTTAACTTGGCGTTCTTTATCCGTCTTACTTTACCACGTACTTCCTTTGTTTTCCTTCCGGAAGCCGCACGAATTTTTTCTAACAACACTCGAATTCATCTCGCATTGTTTCCGCGAAATTAATATTTTTGGAATTGTAGGGACTTGGAATAATTTCCGATCCCGTTTTCCTGGGTTTTTCATGCTATGTATTGATTTACATTTTTTTCGATGGTTGAATCGTGTGATAAAAGATGATGCGTTGTTTGAGAAACATAGTACCGAGTGGACAATTAACGTAGGTGTATACTGGAAATAGAAATAAACTGAACACAGAATTTAGGAAAGTTATAAAGTATAGCTTACATTGATAGCAATTCGAGTATATAAAATGAAGGGAAATGAAATCACTTATTCCAATATAAATTGGGATTCAAAATTAGAGTCCTCAATATTGGAAACTAACTAAGACATAACTTCTGAAAGAATCTATTGAAAGTAATTATTCTTCGAGAAAATTGTACTTAGCCTCTTTGAAATTAATTACATGTTTTATTTAAACTGAATAATAAAACACGAAAACAATGTAAGCATTAATTACAAAAAAAAGTTTTACATAAGCACGGCGATAGGTAATTAAAGTGGATTAACAATTAAAACGATGAACAATAGTGGTTAAAAATAAATTTTAAAAAGAAGGAAAAGAGATTAACGATTTACAATTGTAAAAATACTTTATTGGACTAGTTCTTATGCTTTGGTTACAATAATGAGTAAAATAGATTGCATTGTCGCGATAATAATGATTGCTTAAAAATATTAATTAGTAGATCAATAAATAGTAGAATAGTAAGGCACTCTGCAATAAATATAGTATCTAATGCTTATCTTATTATTTGGCATCATTCAAAGAGACAGTAGACCTCGTTTGTGAACAGAGCATTCTTGTTTTGCTCGTTAAAAAGTATTGAATCCCTCGTTTCAGAGGGGGATATTAGAAATAGGAGAGTTGCGGCTCGTGATTGTGACGTGTCGACATGTTCTGATGTCCAGGATGATGGAAATTCTGGATCTCGTGTGTTCCCTGCTGACCACGGTACTGATTAGAACTTGGTGTTGTCGAGGATGACACGTTGCAACTGTTGTTCATCAACATCGAAGCGCTACTGCCTTGAAGAGCGAATGGCCACGACTGTAACGAAAATAGTGAAACACAATTCGTTAACTGATCTCGATATTCTGGTTATTTCTAATATAGATTTTGTAGTGTTAGAAAATAGCGTGAACATATATTCTGTATTTTATATTGACATAGGGTAGACCGAGGCGAATGGGATCAATTCAGATTCAACAGCGAAACACTAATAGTTAAAACTTAGGATCAACATATTTTTTCATAAATTTGTTATTAATAGACATTCAATTTCTATACCAGTGAAAAGAAAATTGTATTTATTTAATATAAGAAACGCAGTTTTATAACACCTTTATATAACGACGGTTGAGCAACAAATAAATGTGAATTTTGTGAACTGAATGAATAAATAGTATTGGTATGCTATTTATATGACACATATTGAGTGTGATCTTTAAACATAGCAAACACTATTCTTATGTGTATTTATATTAACAGATGTAGCATAAAGAATGGACATAATACAAAATAAAATTTGATTCGAATAATTATTTAAATGAAGCTGTTACTTAGTTTCCTATTTTCTGTGTTATTTTGTCTTATTGTTAGTTAATGCTGTTTCTTATATGTTTATTATGTAATAAAAATTGTTATTTGTTATTTTATATTGTTTGAAATAATGGAATATTCAGCAAGTATATCATTTAAAAATAATTTGGTTGCAATAGTGTATTCACTTTCTTTTGACATTTCGATTATGATAATAATAATAGTTACTATTAATTGCGAATTAGTCTTTGCAAATTTATGTTTTACGGAGCAAACGATGAGAGTTTTGTTACTCTCATAAATGGTTATAATATATGAAAGCAAGATAGAGTGCATGTTAGAATGAAAGTTCTAGTGTATTTTATTTAACTCTAACATGTCTACTTTATATGAATAAAATCCATAACTTGATAATAATAGATAATTTTAACAATTAACATACAATTTTAAAAAAAGTTTTGTAATTTGAAAGGGCATAAATCAAAAGCACAATATTTAAAAATTATGCTCCTAAAATAATAATGTTAAGAACAATGACATTGCAACTTCCGTGTTCGGAATTAATTGTAGAGGATGGCAATAACAACTTACTATTTACAATCCAATTTTCCGGGACCTCATGATAGAAGACAACTTCTTTTATAGTCTAGAAAAACTACAGTCCATTAAAATTATTTCATTCACCTTATTTATATTTATGAAACTTTTTAAATAACTGTTGTATAAACACATGAGGTGTTTACGAATAAATTTTAATGCATTTTATTTCTGATCTTATTGAAACATGGATTATTTAGAGACTTTCTAAAATTAATCTCCACAATGCAAATTCATGTTAATATTAATTGAAGAGATCGTTAATTAGTTGAAATTACTATTTTCATATGAAATGACATAAAAACATTTCTTTTCATACATTTTTATATTTTTCATATAAACTAACTTCCGACGAATATAAGGGTGCAGACAGAAGAAAAAGTTCAATTATTTTGGAAGGCAGAAGGAATAAGACGTCGTTCTTCAAATAACGAAACTAACTTAGAATTAATGGTGGAAAGGATGGGTGGAAGCTCCGAAAGTGATTTGGTCCACCTGGAGAGACGTAAACAGAGAACGGCGTCTGCAAAGGCGACGTTTGCCGTTGCGACGCCAACTGGATCCACCTGGATCCTTTGTTATTTCATGAAGTCATAATCGTGATACCAAAAATCGCGATTGCACAGAGGTAGTATAAAAAAGTCACTGAATAAGAATAACTTGTGATTATTTTTAGATTATTTTAGCTTGATGCTTTTCATGTATCTATTTTATATCAGACGTTCTAACTTCTCGTACGATTTATTGCATTTCCGTCGAATCGGAACGATTTCGATTACGATTATGTTTTTTATATTTTTTTACATTTTAATACATTTTCGATCTCTCTTGACAAATCGTATTTAAAAGTAATACAGAGGTTTGCACATTAGTAGATTCAAGCAAAAAGGTAAACAATCTGAGTGTTTGTTAAAGTATACTATTTCAGATATTTCATTGACATCAAGTGATCTCGTAGCAGTGCAGTTGGGAGATGACTCGATGTCTAGCAAGATGACTTGGTGACGAAAGGTGCCTTTTTAATTTATAGTTCTATAGTTTCGATTGATTACGTGTAACAGTATCAACGAATATCAAACTTGCGATCAAAAATATCACCAATTAGAATATAAAACCAGTAGAAAACCGGTTGAGAAAAAATGAAAACTGATCAATCAGCCGAATCCCTTAGCCTAGCCATTAAGTGATCTCCTAGCAGTAGATTCCTTTATATTAAAACGAAAGGATTAATTAATTAGAACTCACCAGCGCGAGTGACAAAGACCTCGTAGTTTCCGAATGTGCATCCCCGTCATCCCTGAGAACAGCTCGAAGGTGAGCAATGTAAGTTGCAGCGAGACGAAGGGTATCCAATTTGCTGAGCTTTGTATCTGCTGGTACCCATGGTAAAGTAGTCTTTAATCTGCAAAACGCTTTGCTCAGGACTCTCATCCGAGCACGTTCCCTCGCATTCGCGGCGTTCCTAGGTGCACGGCTATCCAAGTCATCCTTGCTGTACTTCTCTTCGGAGACAAACTCATTTTCTTCAGCGTCGAACGATGGTGTCGAGACACGTCGCTTTCGTGGCATGTTTAACAATGGTTCAAATGTCTCGCTATTACGGGTTAGCTTCTTTCAGCTTTTCTAGCGGTAAACAATGTTAACCGCGTAATTCGATACAGAAATTACTGAACAGGTTCGATCGATAAATTGTCTATGTTTAATTTTATTATTAGATGTTCCACAAAATTTAAAATGAACGGGTTTGATGTTGTTCGATCCTTCTTTTAATTCGTATTAGTGGAATGTCACGGTAGGTCGCGAGGCTCGCGCGAAACTAATTGTACTTGAAAACCCTCTGCGATGAAGAGAAGTGACACGAGAGGAGTGCTGAGAGGGAGAGGAGAGAAAAAGCACATTGGTAGGGAAGAGGGAGTTTTGGGACGCCCTGAAAATCGGGCGGAGCTTTCCGAAAGCGAAAAGCGTCTTCCTTTACTCTTGGCCACATCCTCCTCCTTCGTTTTTCCTCGAGACACTCGCCCAATCATTTGGTTCTGCGTCATTTGCCGCCACCTGGTCTATCCTTTCTTCTATCTTCTTTCAAAACACACACATGCGCGCACACACGAGGGATTGGTGGCTTTTCTTGGAGGGAGTCGACCCTTGCCCTGGTTCCTCTGCTTCCTGATATCCGTAATATTTTTTGGCTCGTTTCCTACTTTTTTCCAGCATAGCTAACGTTTCGGAGAAATGTTTTTAAGGTGGCAAACTTTGGTCGATCTAACTTGTAATTATTGTAAGATCGATCATTTCGCATTGGGCGTCGTTCATTAACATTTGTGTTCATGAAATAATTTTAGGAATTATAAGTAAAAAAGAAATATCTGTTTTATTTTAATAAATATGTTTGATTGTTTGTGGAAACAATATCTTATACGTTGCTTTTCATTTGAATGATTCATGTTGTATATTTCTTATTATCTAATTTTTGTGAGGAGATTAGTATGAATGCGGTTTTATCGTAATAGTGTAATTAATGAAAAACATGTCTTTCGTTGATACTCATTTCTGTTTTGTCTACAAGACTATAAATTTATATAAACATTCTTAGACTATTTATAATTCTCCAATGACTATGCGTATTTTTACCTTCTCTTTTTATAGCTCTGTTTTATTGATTATCGCTGACATATTCACTCACTTCAAGTGCATACACACACTCACACACACGCACGCGTGTTCATGATAATTTTTTTAACCACGCATCACTTTAATCAAATAATAGTTTAAAAGGTAGACAAGGATATTATTAAAATGACAAATTTCAAACTTTGTAAACTATACGTATTAAATTTGACATGGAACTCATCGATTATGTTAATACTTTTAATATATATTACATTAAAATTTAATTTTGTATACTTTAATAATTATACTATTTTGTTGTTTCGTTTATTTATATATTTATTATTATAAATATTTCCATTGTATCACAATTTCTTGATAATATACATACATAATGTGCAATTAAAGATCAACATTGACTATAAATTAAAACTAAAAGTAATTTGAGTTTTAGAAATTCGTGTCTACTGTTTCTCTCTTCGTCCTTTTTCCCCATGCAGACGTTTACGCAGAAGGAAATGAGCGTTTAATCTATTAATCCAGTTAAAATCCTTGTGAACGGGCTGTCAACCATTTCGTTGAAAGGAGGATTCGAAATGGATCCTGTAATATGAGGTTTGCGGTGACCCCATAGATCCTATTTAACATCCTGAAGAAGGAGCTGACTTATTGCTCTACGAATTTGTGAAAGTTCCTCTGTAATTCGATACCTTTCCATATAATTGGCCATGTTCTTTTCTTAGGATAAGGATTAATAGATCTATTTGCATACAAAGAATTTTTAAATGTATAACCTACTATAAAAGCTGTATTTTATGAAAAAATCGATGAAAAATGTAATATTGATTAATGTTAATGAGCATTTTTCTGTTGGATTAATCTGTATATATAATCTGCATTATTTATGAAATTATTGAATACTTTCAGTTGGGTAATCTTCTGTTAGAATTGAAGACTGTTTTATGTGAAAAAATATAAATAATAAATATTGTAAAAAAATGTTAATCACTGGAGTTGAAGATATTTTTACCGAATAAAGAAAATTCGAATATTTGAACAATAATAAATAATGATTAAGGCGTGAATTTTAATTAAGCATAAAAAAAATTAAAATATTTTATATGAATACTTAATATACCCGTAATAAGCTGTGAAATATTCATATAACATATTTATTAGTATAGGAGGTTTATGGTTACAGTACATTTTTTATAATGCTGTATTGATTATTGGTCATTTTCTTTCATATTTTACACTAAAAAAACGGTATACTTCTAGTATAAAATATTTAATCATAATTGCACAATAAATATTTAATGTAACGTAATGTGTTAGCGACACATATGCACAATACATTTAATAAGATCCAGAACTACGAAACAATAAAATCGAAAATAATAAATTTGCAAAAATTGATCTGGAAAGTAAAAAAATCCAGAAAAAATATTACGTATTTACATATTCTACAACTGAATTTAATTTGTTGTCAATATAATATTTCTACATAGGACAAAGACATTATTTTAATCTGCAGGACGAATAAACATGAACAACTATTGGAATACAATTATTTTCAATCATTTTTGATAACTGTATCATTAATACATATAATTGTGCACATAAAAATATAAATAATTATATATGTAGGATAATTTGTAAACGAAATATGTACGTAAAGATGTTTATGTACATGAAACAAAGAAATCTGTATTTTAGAGGCACTATATTCCATAGAAGCTTTTCCTATCGTTTAAATCTATGCGTCAAATGCATAGCTTTCAGGTCATAATAAGCATATGTATAGTAGGAATAAAGTATACAATAGAGAATACTCGAATGCTACTAACAAGTTTAAATATACAAATTATCGGTAAAGTTGGCCTTTACATAATTTAAATTGTAATAATTAAAGTGAAATAAGAATTATGTGAAATTAATAGAAATTTACATAAATATTTCATTTGAATAATTCTAGTTTCAATGAAATGATCAAATATTTAAGACCAAAATTTATACTACATTTTTTAGGTACTATTTCGAATTTCAGTGTGTTGATTAAATTTCTTTAGCTTAGTTTTGAAGCATTTTTCAATTTCAAAAGAGTATTAATGAAGTTTGACTACATAAATGTGTAATTTAATTATAAAAAAATTTCACAAAAAATTAAGTTCTTTTTATACAAAAGGAATTTTTTTATGGATTTATAGACTTAGAATATATTATTATTGGATTTTTGGTATGTTTAAATTGATTTTTTTTTTCAGAAAAACGTTTCGAATCGATTGGCACGTTGCAATGCTGCGCAACGTGTTGTAACTATATTCCTGAAGAGGACACTGAGCACATAAGTGAAAATGGCTGATGATGCCTATCGAACGAATTTGCGAATCGGAAGTCGATTCATATTCTTTGGTCATTAATTTTTTGTGATTTTCTCACGTGTATCAAGCTTTTTTTACATATTTACAAAAGGTTAACGATTTTCAATCAACGCATCTTCATACATAAAGAAGAAACAAGGAGAATAATTTGACGAAAGTTCCGGAAGGTGGTTCCTCGAGTAACCAAATTTTTTGTGCGAAACGCCGTATTTATTTTGTTGATAGAATACGTAAGTTCCAAAAATAGCAAACATCAATAACTCTGTTATTAGCTTGTTGTTAGTTACAAAATTACATGTGTTAAAGAGGTTAGGACGTATTAATGTAGTTTTGTGTACGAGAGGAAAGGAAGTTTAAAATTTGAACATATTTATTATTTACATTTTACCGAAATTGCATAGCTTCTCCTATTCAATTTATATTTTTAAAATTATATTATTATTTCTTAATACAAAGATGTATTAGAATAAAATTGTATTAAGTTTTTTATTGCAGATATTTGACCAATTAAATTTTAGTTTAATATGACTGAGGAACATCAGTTACCCTCTGATTCTGATGAAGATGATGAAGATTATGTTCCTGATGGTGCAGATAATGAGGCTGTTTCAGAGGTAGAATCTGAAGGTGATGCAGAAAGTGGTCCTGAGGATGAAAATGATGAAAATAAGAGAGAAACTACAAAAAAACAAAGACAAAAACGAAATAAGCTTACGAAAACTAAAGCTAAAAGGGGTAGAAAACCAAAGAAAAATGTGAAAGAAGATAGTGAGGAAGAAGAGAAAGAGGAACGAGAATCCGGTGAAAAGAAAAAACTTACTGAAGAAGAGGAAAAGAAAAGAGCTGATTCTCTTTGGGCAGATTTTATGAAAGATACAGGTAAATAATTTATACTTCTCTTTATATGTATATTTATATTTTGAAATGTTAATTTTATTAGTATAAATAATAAAGATATTCATTATAATTTACTGAATTGTTTTATTATTATCGATTTTTATATGTGTATATTTTGATTTGTTGCAGGAACTGTGAACAAATCCAAACCACAAAACTCTGCAAATAAAGCAAAAGAAAAATCCCCTCCTTTGGAAAAACCAAAAGTTGAAGAAAAAGTAAAGATAACTAAAGTATTTGAATTTGCTGGAGAAGAAGTGAAAGTTGAGAAAGAAGTGTCAATAGATTCTGCAGAAGCTAGATTATCGTTTTCTTCAGATGATAAGTCAGAAAAAACTGGTAATTCTGCTTCTCCTGTAGGCAAAGGGTCTGGAAGAGGAAAAGGTTTTAAACGAGCTGGTTTGGGAGGCATTTCTTCAGTTCTTGGTCAAATAGGGAAGAAAGCCAAAATCAGTACATTAGAAAAGTCAAAGCTAGATTGGGATAATTATAAAAGGAGCGAAAATTTGGAAGAAGAAATTACTACTCACAACAAAGGGAAAGATGGATATTTAGAACGTCAAGATTTTCTGCAGAGGGCAGACTTACGACAATTTGAAATTGAAAAACAATTACGTAATGCTAATAGGCGCAGTACACGGTGAATTTATATCATAATCTTTGCACATGTCTCTTCCCCACTGGTGAGGATCTAAGATGACATTAAAAGGTATATCTTAATTAGACTTGCCAGATTCCAACGCTTGTAATACATATTTAATTTTAATTCCTGAAACACTCATTAATATCTCATAGCATATATAAAAATGTGATTGCCTCGCTTGGCTTGACAATCGGCTGGATCTGTTTACAATGCGGTCGAAAGCCTATTCTGTGAGAAGAGACTGATCATTCCAATGTATTAAGAAGAGTACAGTGTGTTACATAATAGTTTAATTTACCATCTGCGAGCTAAGCCTCGGTCTACTATATCACAGAACTTCGCATCGAAGCAGGATCTTTGAAGCTTGATGCTTCAGAAACCAATATATTCTAATAACACATACTCCAGAAATGTTTTTATTCCGTTTCAGTGAAAGAAATGAATGATTAACACAGTATATGTAGTGTAGGTATTTGATAAGAATCTGTTTGAACAGTGAACGAATACTTATGAGTATGTGTCTTAGAAATGATCATGACATTAATTTCATTTACAATCACTGCCTTTGGCGAGTCATTCAAGACATGTTACCATATTTATAAGAAAGGTACATGAAATGAGAGCACAGACCGTTATTCAAACTGAAAAACTACAGTAATGATTTTATACTTTTTCAGTGATATATGTATGTGTTAATTATATATCCTGTAAACAATTGAATGATTATCTGTGCAAGATATTCCGTTATAGTTTACTGAATGATAAGTTAATCTGACATATATAATTCTTGGCTCAGGTTATAATTTTTAGATTATGTGTAAAATATATCATATGGATACGTACAAGACATGCTTGTAGCTCATCGAATACTATTTAACAATTGTTTCATGTCGTGTACTGTGTCAATGTAGAGAATTAAAAAATATTGAGAAGGTCTATAGATATATTGGCTGAGAGTAATATTAGACAAAACTTTTAGTTTTGCTGTCTTCATCAAATCCTTGTGTACTTTTTCTATCACAAAATAAATCTTCAGTACTTTAAATGTCATGTAATAGATTCTTTAAATCAAACACTGCTTTATATCATTATGCAGCAAGAATTTATTAGTTACATTCATATTATTCAAGTATACACGTGCCAGTTTGTGAGTCAACAATATTTCTGTGAGCAATTATAACAGTTTTTTCAAAACAAATTCAAATGAAAGAATTAGTAACAATCGATCCATCATTGATCTTTATTTATGGAATTTAACTATTCTTTTCTTCTGAAATATAAAAACATTCCATACATTCTGAAGTTTAGTTCATTACTTATACATAGGTATTATTACTTAAACAGTAAGCCAAGAAAAACGGAGCACCTGAATGTATCTATTGCATTTAAATGTACGTGGAAAACACATCAAATATTATGAAGATTTATTTCGAACGAAAAAAGTCGAACATTTAAAGTTTTTCTCTAATTTTCACTTTTCAGGTTCAAAGTCGTATCATAGGATATATATTAATTAATTCATGTTAGTTTATAGTATAATAGTAATTAGCTAAATAGTGACTTCTCTAAATCAAGAAATACAGGAGCAAAAAAGTTTAAACTTATTTAAGTTATTATTATAGTTTAAATTTATTTAAAATATATAAAAGCTTTTAATCAGTTTTATGATAGTGTCTTGGTAATTCTTAATATAAAACAGTATTAATTTCTTAATATTAAAACTTATATTACTTATTTTATAATTGAAATTCTAACATTAGTTTTAAGATATGCTTGACACCTTCAAAAATAAAAAAAAGTATATTTATAATTGTCGTAAGTGAAACGCATTTAAAACTTTTTTACTTCTCTAAATTTAATAAGATTAAAATTGAGTACTTTTTCAATTCTCTATAATATGATATTGCCCTTCGAGGACAAAAACTTTGTTGATTTATTCTCAAAACACTGTAGTTAATATCTCCAGAATTTTTTTTATAGTTTCAAGTATACCAGAGATACTTAGATCCTTCGTACATCAATACTTATGTTTCTTTAAATACTTACAGATGCATTGTGATTTTGCTTCTTCAAAGAACGGTTAGAACCACAGTTTCGAATGGGACACAAATTAGAGTGAGGCATATTATTATGTTGAGGGCTGAAAAGAAATTAATTTAGAAACCTCTCCAAGAATGATCTTTTAATTGTAAGGTTCATAACAAAAAATCTGATATCAAAATACCACAAATTTCATGGAATTTCTCCAAAGTTTAAGTTAATATACATCATATGGATGTAGATACTGCTTTATTTTGTTAAAAATCTCTGATTTAATTAGGTCTGATTAATTCTAACAGTAAAGAAAAAATTGTTCAATGTAAACAAAAATTCTTGTTGTACATTAACGTATTTTTCATAAAACCTTTTCCTTTATTTTATTTCAAAAATCAAAGTTAACAGTAGATTTACAGATTCTATCAATTTAGTGTGTTTACAATTTCAAAAAAAGTGTTTAAAATTTAAAAAATGTTATATTATTTGTTAGCAATTTATGTTGACTTTGATTGGTGTAATGATATGAGTGCACATCCTAAATCATTTTCCTTCCAATCCTTTAATTTCGAACACCTGTATATAGTACACTTATCGTTTCGAAAACAATTGCCTGTAGATTAATTAATGTAATTAATATCTGTAAGTCTAATGTTACAACCTACATGTATGACTTCATTTTATACTAGCAAGTTAATAACATATTTATCGTTACTTATCGATGTAAGTTTGAAATAGATTTCCAAATTTTGAAGAAACTAAAAGATACATTCTTCTTTCTTTCGTAATGTAATTTGTTTTGACAGAAACAGTTTCTGTTATGAACACGTGATCTGTATTTTCTTTATGTTGGTTTGCCATATCAATGAAAGGGACGTTTAAAATTGTGCATTTTATTACGCAAATTAGTGAATCCTTTTGCAACTCCATTTTCAGAGTTCCTAAGCGGTGATTAAAAGTGGGTTATTTGTTCTAACGTTACCAAGAGAATAATTATTACTAGTAATATTAATAATATAACAATAATAATAACTAATATTATTATAACAATTCTAACTTCGAGTTCGTAGGACAGGGACATTTATTACGAAATTTCTTTCCGCTGGAGCTTCCACTTTTTGAATTACACAAGTTTGTTTTATTTTCTGGTTTCTCTACCTTGCCTTGTTTTCTATTTTTCTAGAATAGTATGTAACAGTGTGATGGAAAATGTAAGTTTAATTTTAAATTATGTTGAAAGGTAATACAATGATTTTAATTCAATTTTACGTGATATACGATACAATACAAAAACATTAGGTATGCGTGGATAGTCCAGTACGAGTTTCGAGTTTCAATAAAAACACGTCTACCAGATATATTTTACGTTTAAATTGTTACATTTATTTAAGGTTTAACTTTTTCCATATTACGAGTAACTATAATTGTCTACTAAAAATCAACTTAAAAATACCATTATAAGTGATTATGGTTTCTCAATCTTTAGTTTAAAAATGTCTGTATTTACGTTTGTTTATTCTATGTTTAATGCTATTTAATTATCAGGACGATTGAATAATATGTTATACAGACGTTTAACTGTGGTTTGGTAGTATTGTAAAAATAGATATAAAAGCAAAATTAAACTATCTGTTACTTACACATAGGTATATTACAAAATGTGTTTTAAAGTAGAAAATTAACGGACGGGTTACAGTTACTTTAAATTTTTCCAAAACTATAAAAACAGAGACGTTAGCGTTTTGTGGTTCATTTAATCATATTTGATAATTATTTTCGTCTATATGTAATGTATGCACTACAGAATTTGTTCGAATGTTTATAAATTATTTTCACGCAGACTAGAATAGAAAAGAATTATTTTTATCATAATAACAATTTTTCATATTTTATTTTTACTTTTATTTTACAATTGGTTTTATGTAACATCTGAAACATTTTTCTTCACTGTGTTTTACGTGTTTAAATAAACAAATGCATGAAAACTACAGTATACCAGTGTAATTATTATTAAAATTAATGTTTTACTCACTTTATTCATCATGCAGCAGCATTCGTTGTATTTTCCTAGAGTCGTACACGATTTTGAGCACTTGAAACCTCTTGAGCTCCCTGAATCAGATTCTTTGACACATATACAAAAAGATGACATCAATTTGTTTTTCTGATCGCTTTCTCTTCGCCGGTTGTCTTTTTCCTTCTTCGTTTTTCCCGGGCTTTGTGAGCTGCGAGCCATCGATCTCTTGTGCTCGTCACAATGGCAAGTTGTCATTTCATCCGGGCACTTCTTTGAATTCCATTTTCCAAGTTTACTTGAGCCCGGGCTTCGCAGACTGTAATTTAAAGAATCCAGAACATTTCGCAACGTTTGGTAAGTGTCAGGTCCAGTGTATGAAGGCGTAACAAAAATTAAAAAACTAATGTAAATAATTAGGAACTGCACAATGTGTTTCCTTTTTTATTTATATTTATTAACTTTAATAAAATGCAAAAATTATGCAATTGTTACTATATAAGAATATAAAAATATGTGCTAAACATTAAAAACAATTATAATATTCATGAAGATTATTCTGTCTTGTTGCTTTTATTGATATGTGTATGAATACACACTGTAATTGTTTTATGAAATATTTTTTAAGTCATTACTTAATAGGACTTAATAAATTGGTTATTTTGGATATTAGCTACAGACAATGTCTATAGAAAATAAAACGGTTCTATAAGCAACTTACTTTGTTATTATCACAAGAGTGCATATATGTGCTCTTACAATTAACGTAAGTTAATAGAAGCATAAACGTGTTAGTGCGATGATTATGTCATCATTATTATACATTATTATACAGCATTATATTATAATTTATATACTTACTTATTTCTTTATTTTTATTTATTAATAATGTACATAGTAATTTTTTCTTTAAATGTGTATTGTGTTGTTTTTAATGTGCTTATGTATATGTAAATAATGCCTTCAATAATCGCATTAACTATTTTCGATGAAAGCTTTTTGCTAGGGGTACAATTAGAGTGTTAACTAAAAAATGTTATATTTTATACTATATGGTTAGGTACTTAAACGAAACACTATTCAAGTGAATATCGAACAATTGTTACACAAAATTCAAAGTAGAACCATAATTTATTGTCAAGTACTATCAAATAAAAAAAATTGTATTGCAGTTACAAAATACAGAAAATAACATGTAGTTCAAAAACATTTTGTTTTATAAATATTTTAATTTATAAATACTTTATAGTACTTTATAGTATAGGTTTTCGAACAAAAAAATTGAATTTAATATTTCTGTGTTTTTAAAACCATATGCTATTAATTTTAACACATTTTATATAGTTTATCTGCATTTATATTATCTATTAAAATGTAAAGTACATATTATAATCAAGAATGTTTATTAGGTGTAACGACAGAAATAATATTTAACATATATTAAAATATATACGTATAAGTATAAGATTAAATATTGCGTTAAAATTCAATACAAAATTCTTATTAGATGTAACATTTATCCAAGATTCGATCACATTTGTTCAAATGTTGAGTCATATTTTCAAGAAAATTTTCTAATAAAAATAACATTTAAATCAGGAGTGAATTAAAATAAATATATTAGTGTTAATAAATTCTTGGGCAAATGAATTTTGATGCAAACTATAACAGCTTAGTAATGATATCTAGTATTTCATCTCACTTTTCTGTGAAAATACACTTGAGTGACGTAAACGGATCTTGAACAAGGTCTTGTGATATTCATGTTAAAAATAATGTTATCCACATTATCATTGTTTTCTTCCTTCTTTTACCTTATAGATAAGATTTACCACCTTTTTGTAGCTTTCATTGAGCAATAATACTTTCGCTCTGTATATACCTTTGATGTTTTTGAATGCAATTATATAAAAAAATGTGTTATTGGGCCAGAGTGGGTATATGTAACTACAACGAATTAAATGGCATGTTTTAACTGTTGACAATTTGAAATATATTAAAGCCGCAACATGCAATTATGCGACTTAATTAATATTGTTTATAATTTAAAGGATACTTATAATTTCGTGTAATTGTAATGTTTCTATGAATTAAGAGAATCAAAATTTTAATCTCATCAGGATTAAATCAGTGGTTAATTCTTAAAAGCGAATGAAATGATTTTATGAATAAAGGAAAAAATAACTGATGAACTTTTATAATTGCCACAAAAAAAGGGGAAGTTCGTTAATGTAAACAATAAGAGGCTGTATTTGGTTTAACAATTTTCGAAATTAAAAAAAGTATGTTCTCATATTTTACTTTTCATATTTAATTTCATATTGAGTGCCGTATGTTTTCAATAAACTGAACTTCAAATATTTATTTAGTATAGAATAGTAAAAAGTCGCTCTAACTATAATTAAAATGAATAACAGCAGTCTCAAATGTGTGTCTTTTCGCATCAATTGAAATTAGTCTACAACGAAATAAAAGTAATTGGTTAAATTTGATAAACTTTTACATTTTATCATATATCAAATGAACCAATTTTGATTTAAAATATTTATAAGTTATACTAGATATATATAGATACACCATATGTAGTATATGTCACCAATTACGTATGCTTATTGCGTTGGATGAAGTATGAGACAATATTCTCGAGTTTAGTATCAGAAGCTATTTGCTGATTCATTAAAATGGTATGGGAATGGGGATTCTGAAGAATGCAAGGTTGAAAAGAAATTGTTACTTTGAGTAACGATATTTCTCACGGAGTTTGTACCGAGGAAGATAATTTAACACAGTTATTATCCTCTTACCATATCTTGGGAGATGTAGACGTCGACGTTGAAGATTCCACAGTTATTGTTGAAGCTTGACACTTTTTGCTGTAAATAATGTGAAAACTTTCACATATAAATCTATATTTTTTAATAATGTGTCTGAGATTCGTTCTATGAAAATTTTAATCAAATACTAAATCATTAGATATGTGGCTGATTATACAGATTCATACTTTTATAGATGAGTTAATTCAATCTATAATTAAATGGAAATTTTTAGCCTTTGAAAAGAATATTTAAGGATTAAAAGCTTATTAATTAGATAAAATATTAGAAATATATGTTGAAGATGAAGGATGTATTCTTTCAAAAACTTACGCGGTTTTTGGAGGGGAATCATTTGAGGAAGATTTAAAAAACTCATTGATAAATTGTCATTATTAATTTAAATTCTATTATTTCATAAAAAATATTTATAATTGTATACGATAAATAAAATTTCCTCTATACTAAATGCAATTAATGAAGAATTTTTAATTTTAATATTTATAATGTATTATGAGATTAAACCGGGTTTATTCTATGTTTATAAATTTAAATTGTGACTTTAGATGAAGATTTTATTCAAAATTGACTGTAAAGAATTTCAAAGTTATATTACTTTTCTATATAAAAGGCATTAATTTTTTTCAGTACACCTTGTAAATAATAAAAAAATTCATTCGAGTACACCTGAGTCATGACTTTCAGATTACCTTGGAAACAGAAAAAGTGATTATAAAAGTCAATACTTTTTGCAAACTATTACATCATTTCTTGCTATCGTTCTTCGATCGTTCGATCCGTTTTTCGGTTTCTTGCTTTTCGATTTCGTTCGACTCTTCGTTATGGTACCACCAGTTTTATGAGATAAAGACGTTTCTAATTTTTTTGACTTTCCATTTTGAGGTTCCTTGTGGCTATATATAAATAAAAGTTTACTAGAATTTCATAAATATCTTTTTAGAACTTTTTACGTACCTTGTGGAAAGTCGTTTATTTGCCGGACATATGGGATCTTTACATGTTTTCGTCATTTTCCGGTATCTTACATAGAAATGTTATTTAGTTTATTAAATCGAATTATCTGTTGTTTGCCATTGTACTTCGGAAAGAAGAAAATATATAATATATTTACAATTTTGTCATTTCTGCATAAATTTTTTATTAACCCTTTTGTACCTCACATGCTATAGAAAGTAAAATGAATTTCAATCTTTCACCTTTTCTCTGATTCTACATTCATTTTCCTCTCACCATTTAGTCATGTTAATGTTTAATATTCATTCATTATTGACGGTAGAGCGTAATTATTTAACTTTTTTTAATTGAATTTTTATGTATAAATTCAATCTAACCTATTGTTTTCTATATATGTTATTGTACATTGAAAGGTAATACTGTTCAGATTTCTGAAAAATTTAAGTTCGATTATCGTGAAAGAGAACAAACCTATCTTCTTTACGAGACACATTCACGTATAATTATACTTATACATGGAATGAAACTTGTGTCAACACAATTATCTTGGTACATGAGTGTGAACTAATCAACTGATTAAATACCTGGTTTTTCAACTCGGATATTCGATAAAATTATTATTGCAAGTACTAATTGTTTGAACGATGAATGTAATGCTAGTAATTGTATTTCATATTATCATTGATTATTTTTTGTGAAATAAGATAAGTATACTTTTAACAGTATAAATTTTATAGGATTTCGGTTACTTAATATATATTAGAATGGTACATGTATTTTATAGAAAATGAATGTTTTCTTAGGTAAGATTAATAGTAATATAAAAGTATTGTGCTTGTAAAAATCAACTTTGCATTATATATATATCATTATACAGAATTTAAATACAGAAATTATTTCAAGATAAACGGAAAATATATTATTTTTGTAGAAAACAATTTTATTTGAAATCTATTTCGAAAGATAGTTACTTGATAGGAAACACTGTACACAATTTTTCTATTATCATTACCGAAAATAGTAATTATAATATAATACAAATTAAAAATGTTTTGACAGAGAAGCACATGTTTGAATAAATCTGACGTCGAGTCAGATTTGGCATAGGGGCAGTTACTAGAGGTGTGCGAGAACCCTAAAATGTCAGAAACTCGATGATCGAGTCGGGTCGAGTGGAGTTTCCCGAAAGAATTCCTACACATAAAAATGAAATACAATATTACATCTTGATATTATATATTTAGTTACTATTTTCTCTCTATTCCTGTCCTTTATAATATCAGAAGTTGTAGAAAACCCGACTCTATTGAAAAATCAAAACATTCTCAGGAATCCAACCCGAACCCAAAGAAAAAACCCGTCCCAATATTTTCACTTCAATTATTACACATAGTTTAATTCAATTATTACATGTAGTGTAATATTTTAACTTAATTAACCCGACAATACACCTCGATTATCAGTACTTAGGTATTATACCACCTTTGTTTCCTAACTGAAAGTCGCGCCGAGGTAAGATCAAGGGTCAGTATTTATTTAATATTATAACACATTATTAATATTTCATTATTATCATCATCATTGTTATTACTATTATTATTAATACTTTATTAAAAACAAAGGTAGCCTTTATAATACATAACCACCTAATTATATATTTACATATCAACCCAAAATTTTCAAAAATCTCTACACTGTATTAAATATGATTATAAAGTCAAATGTGCAATCGAATACGATGAGCCCAAAGCAGAAGGAGACGTGGAAGAAGAGCGGAGTACATGCGTCTTGGTCAGAATTAATTGAGCAGCGAGCCAGAGCATAATTTTCCAAATAAATGTCAGCGGGAGATACCGGGTACCAGTTCTCGGATACAGGGACATCCATTTTTCTGCGCTGCGTGCGCGACTGCGAACGTGTCGCGGACGTTGTTAAGCCGAGTTACGATCCATCTCGGAATCGCGGTCCGCGATGAAGATAAAGATGAAGGAAATTGGTGGAACGCGGGCGTGGAGGAAGACGCGTGAACCGGAGGAACAGTGCATGCGCCCGATTCGTGTTCGGCGTGTGTGCAAAACGGCAGCAGGAATATCGACGCCAGACTGGCGGCCGTTAGTTGTGGCCTTGCCATCGGCAATTTATTCATGAACCGGAATATCTCTGCGGGCGTTCGTTCAGCAACCTCCATTCGTTTCAGGGCACTTCAAGTAAACCTCTTCTTCCAGATGGTAAGTACATTCGTTACCTTTTTCCAGTTTACACGAATCAACGTGGTGCGGCGCTGCACGGCGTGCGCGCCACGAGATTAGGATCGTGGCTCAACTAATGATGCGTTTACTGTAAGCAACCCAACGAACTTTGTATTCGCCACACATGATGACAAAATTGATTCATTTTGTAAACTGATGTTTCGTTCGCCAAATACAGTAGGGCCCCCTATAACGCGATTAAAAATCGTTGAGAAATAGCTACGAAAGTGAGATTTTCTATAAGAAACTCATACAGGATCAACTTAATACAAGTTGGGCCAGTATCCAAAAGAGGAAGTTAATATTTTAATCGTGTTGTAGGGGGTTCTAATTACTTCTAAATAGTGTTTCAACACTAGGACTACCGAGCATTTAATATGATCACATTTAATATGTAACAATAGATTATTTTCAGTTTCTTCAGATGTTCATTATAGTATTCAAGTGAAACTATATTTTCGAAATCATTTCGAATATTTAATTCTTTTAAGACATGAAGAATTACGAAAGAAGGGAATCGGAACCAGTGATTTTGACTGATACGGGTAGTTCTAGTGTTAAGTATGTTGAATGTCACAGGAACTCACGAAAATCTGATCAAAAAGTGCTAAGTAGTACGACCGCGCTTCTTTCGTTTCAGCTTAGAAATTGAAACGCTTTTCTATTTTCACGTAAAAAAATTGTAAATGTGATGAATCTGGTTTTTAATTTCTGGGCAAGCAATGAAAAAGATAAAAATAAATAGTTAAAAGGAAAAGCAATGAATAAACTCAATTTAATCCTATGAACCGATAGGCTGGCACTTTTAGGTAGTGGTTATAGAAAAGCGTGGTCGCGCCGCTTGATGTTCAAACGGTTGACACTTCATCTACTGCTTCTGATGAAGGCAATCACTTACTATTAGTTGACAATACTGTTTTTGCCGAGGCGTAGAGGTGTATGTTTTTACTTGCAAAGCTTTGTAACTCTAAAATCAAAATATAAAGGAATCTCATTATGTCGTTCTGATTTCTTTTGTCTTAAAGCAGCGTGATTTTAATAAGTTATCCATTGTTAAGCCGATTAATAGGCATGCGGTAGATGAAGTGTTAACACCATGAAAATATTAATTTCTGAGGCTTTAAAGATTGAACTGAAATTTTAGATAAATTGAGTAAGAAGTTCAATATTTGAAAATGATGTTAAATGGAATAAGATTGAGTGTTAGTCTGTTGATAATCTTTCTGTGGACGCTTCATTGTGAATTGATAGTACAAATGTAACCCCTTAAGAATTTAAGAAATCATTTAATGAGATTTTGAACGTTTTCAGATTACAATATATTAAGTGTATCATGCATTTCTAATACTGATTAAAGTTTAGTCGAAACTGAGGAAAATTTGGCTTTAATTTGCCAATTTCGCGGTCACTGATATCCAGGCTACCGATCATAACGCGCCAATGACTCAACATATATTTTTAGATACAAGTTGTTGCATACTACAAAAATGTTGTCTTTACATGGAAAGCTGGTGATTCAAGTATCCGGAAATTGCCTCTCGGGACTGCTGGGTTTATACCAGAAACTCAACAGAATCGCAGTCATCAGTACGTAGGTTGTTACAAGTTTCGGGAATCCTTCAACGCGGGAATTTATGTCATTTTCCTAAAGCTTTACATGTTTAAGATCACAAAGTATTGACACAACGCAATTGATTGTTTTGAAAAACAAGAAAATCATTAGTTCAAAAAATTGTAACAATATATTTGTTCACATATTTATTAAAATACCCAAGTGAAACTATTTATTTTGAAAATTATTTCAGATTTTTACCACTTTTAAAATACCAATAGTTGCGAAACGAGAAAATCGAAATTTGTCATTTTGGCAAGTGCGGTAATTTTAGTGTTAACTGCGTTATAGGGGAACCTACTCTAATGTAAATGTAAATACAATTCAATTCATAAATTATTTGGATCGCAGAAACACGAGTATACTTGTTATCGGTCAACAATGTGTTATATAAAAAAACTCATTCATAGCATTATGATTACACATTTTGTTGTCCAAAAATACGGTTTGTTTCTACAATTCCGCTAACACACGTGTTGCTGTACAAATAGCAGACGTCTTCTTTTACATATTTTTTTTAGCAATGACTTCGCCTTAAATTTGGTTCTATTCATCCTA